GCGTACTATCGATTTTGCTTCAAGCGTAGTGTTCATTAGTGCTATGTAATGAAATAAATGCAAAAAATCTCATTCACATCAAAGTTGTCATCCAGTAAAAAGGTAGGCTGCCTTTATGCATGTATATTTTGAATTTTTGATACTTTAAATTTAAATTTATGAAAATCATATTATTAAAAAAGTTAAAGCGTAAATGCCATTTTTTAGTTATGTATTTATCATCTTCTAATCAGCGTTTAAATAATGGTTACTAACTCATATATTTGGAAACTTGAGCCATAAAATTATGAAAAATGCACTTTTACTAATATAAAGACCTTCTTTCGATTCATTTATAATTATGCTAAACTTAGCGTGTACGTTTTGACGTTCATAGTGAGTAGGTTTCTAGCTGCACGTTAATTTTTATTTTAATAACTAGAACGTTTTTTGGTAGTCTATTTTAGATAAATACTAACTTTACGAACTTGCTTATAATTGTTTATCACGTTCCTGTTGTCTTCCTTATAAACTTGCATTTAATTTATTGAGCCTATATTTCCATCAATATGTATAATATTCTTGCTTTTTAATTGATTACTTCATTGTTATTCAAAAAGCTTAGCCAACCCCCACCAACTTTAGCCTGACAGTAATGCCAAAAAAGCGAAATCCTTCATTTGGACGTGCTACTACTACAGCCAAACGCATGAAAGCACGGAGAAGAAACGCTTCGCAACAAGAAACTCAAATTAGTGTCAAGCAAAATGCTATTCGTACAGTTAATGCAAGGTCAGCAGAAACTAATGAGCAACGGTTAACTAGACAAGGAAAGAACGCTGCAAGAACTTCTCCTACTCGAGCTGTCTAAACTGAGGGGGAAAGAACAATTCTATACAGTCTTTGTGAACATTGGTTTTCATCCTTAGCACGGCTGCTAGGAGAAGTCCTTTATTGAATTTCTACTCCTTCTAATGCATGTTGTCCATTCGATGTAGTTTGAGCAAAAGCTGTCAACAAAGAATTTCTCCTCAACAATTTTCGAAGATCGATTGCGATTAATGTACTCTTCATTTGTCAACCATTATTTTTGTATCTTCTGGGCCTCTGTAAAAAAAGCAACTTTCTCCTGTTATAAATGTTTTCCCACGTCATGTCATTATAATCTTTCGCCATATAAATAAGAGGCACTAAAGGAGAAAAATATTCTTTATTTTAACCTTACACATTGGATTAGATTGGTGATCTTTTTTTTTAACAATCCCAGGCAACACCGGGTAATGTGTTGCTAGTATATATATATATATATATATATATATATATATATATATATATATATATACAAAACAATAACTCATTTCCAATAGCATTTTCGGATACAACAATACATATATTTTCGTTGTCCTCTTATTACTAAGAGAAAAAAACAAGAACAACATCTATTCTATACCTGAAGATGTCTGTAGGAACAGACGAAAGCTTGTAGTAAAAAATAAGAACTAATACGGCAGAAATTTTATATAAACAAGGATCTTTTTTTCATTCATAACGGATTCGGAGGTTTTTGTATATTATTTGAATTGTTTGCGACGATGGATTTTTCGCCAATTAAATCATTAACCTTTGCATTTGTTTTTGTGTGAAATAATTCATGAATATATATATATATATATATATATATATATATATATATATATATATATATATATATAAATCATCATATTTTGATCTTTAACGTTCAGAATGAAGAAGATACAAATCTTTTTTTATCAACGACACCCATCAGCAATTTTGGTATCGTCATATTTGTTCATCGTTTGACATTGTCCAACCAGTTTTTTGGGTTAGCATCCTCTCGTACGTCCACTTTCAACGGTGCCTTTCATGATCGTCTTGCACAGGCTGTCGCGCCTTGTAATATGTCCAAACCCCGCCATTATTCTCTGTTTGACAGTGACGAGAAAAGATTCCTGATAGCCCACAAAACTTTCAACCCTTTTTCGCATTATGTATTCCTTTTTTTCGTTTACAAGAAAGAAAAAAATATATATATTGTTGCACCGGCCTCTAACACAAGGGAATTACACCGGTTCTCACTATATATAGTGCCAGTAATACCTACCTGGTGTAAGCAGCGACAGTACTATAAAGCTTCACCCGTTTCCTACCTTTGTATCTGTGATGTTGAATAACTTGTTCTTTAAACCAACTTCGACTTGATTTTCTTATTTTACTATTGTGCCACGACACAACATATATATATAATAGCAAGGAGGTCTTTTAATATAAAACATTAAATGTTAAATCCATGATGAGAACTCACTGTATAAATTTATATTTGAATAAAAACAATAAAGAAAAAATACTTAATTATTCACCATATAATCGGGTATAAATTTATTTCAGCACTTATGCATATATATATATTGATATACCTGCCTCTTCAGAATATGAATTTAATAAAATGATATAAATTTATGGCAATTTGATAATCAACCAGACATTTAATAAAATGAATAAAAAATAAATAAAAGATAAAAAAATGAAAAAAGCAAATATAAGAAAATAAATTTTAAAGTCAAGTTAAAACCGATACTTTATTTTTTTCTGTTTCTTTTTAGTTTTTAATTGCATTTATTTTTGCACACACACACACACGCACACACACACACACACACACACAATATATATATATATATATATATATAGATAGATAGATAGATAGATATTTATAACTGTTTATCATCATTAATAAATATATATGTTTTTTTTCTATATATATATATATATATATATATATATATTGTATGTATATATATAGTGATAGAAAATTAGGGATTTAATGTAATGTAAATCGAGTTTACAAGAATCACTAATAGGACGAAACAGCTGTACTAACTCTCAATTCTTTGTGGATTCTTTTTCGATAAATTTCTTTGATTACCATAACTAAAATTTCTATCGTTTGTATAACCTTGTTTCACCCAGATAAAGCCCGTGCGGGTCCTGGAGAGTAAAAAAAAACAAAAAGGAAAAGAAAAGGAGCCGTGGCTCTCAGGGGCAGAGGCCGTGGGGTCCGAATACTTGGCCCTAGCGGCGCTATATCGAGTTACGTTAGTTTCTTCTTCCTGAGTACAGTTTGTATGATGGCCTCTTTTCAACGGTCCGGGTTCGATTCTCAGGGGTGGATGCGCACTGCTGATGAGTCGAAAACAGGATGAAATGGCCATACAGTGCTTTCTGCATTCTTTTTGAGGATTCTTCTAGACTCGATGAATTTTATGATTATCTCACACCCTCCCAATAATTTCTTTCTTGTATATCCTTTTGAATTTCTGAAGTTCTGGATGGAGCCGCTTTTAGCTCGTGGGGATACATCTTCATGGCTATGGGAAACTCGGATGAGTTACACCACGGAATTTGTGAAGTGCGTTAGTTCTTAGTTACCGAGGCCCTTGGTACAGTTGGTATAATTTTTGGGGTCGTTTCTAACTGCTGTTGAGTACCAAATATAGGGCGAAACGGCCGTCCAGTGCTTTTGCATTCTGTTGAGGATTCTTCTAGATGATTCGATATTTATATATATATATATATATATATATTAAAGGTTTAACGTTTTTTTTTTATAAATACAAGATAAATCTGTTTATAATAAACAGTATTAAATAACATTTACCGGCCTGAGAAGAGAAATTTTCATAGAAAATATTCGTCCTGCATCCTATACGGAAGGTCATTTACGCTGACGTGCCTTAACCGGATCGGGCCACAAAGGAGCGATCGGTAGGCAGGTTGAATTTACTGCTTATAAACTTCAATTTTCCATGAATCTCGTACATTCATAACTGCTCTGGCGTATCAAATGTAAACAAATGACGTCCGACAATTTATTTATTAAAGACATTAATTGTCGGACTTTGTCCATTTCTTAATATATATATATATATATATATATATTCGGATTTTAGAGAATAAAAAGAAAATTGAAAGATTTTCCAATTGTATAGACAAATTCAGTAAATCTAATCTAAGATTGTTTTAAACGGTGATAAATTTACAAGAGGAAGAAAACGAGAACGAATATTAAATTGTACAACAAAGTGTAAAATCAAAACTTTGTAATCCTTTCTTCTCTAATATCAAACGTGTTACCATGGCTCTCGCGTCCTGGATATAACGATAAACTACATCCGCGCCCTGGGCATAATGATAAACTACATCCAGCAGCAAGGCCTCTTTTCAGCAGGATTGGGCGCTTTTCTTCCCAGGTTCTAAAAAATTTAAAGATATCTTTCTCTACTTTTTATCTAAGCCTCTTCGGTTAAATTCTACAAGATTAACAATCCCGGCAGCTCTTTCTAGAAGACCAAACGGTTTATTTAGATCGATACTGCTCCGTTTTAGAAATTTTAAAGGTAAACATAATTGAAACGTGTCTGGAAGTAGTGTATACGAAGGCCGTAATATACTATCAGGATGTTGCTTGATCTGAGCTGACGGTCAAATCACGATGGAATACCAGTGCTCGCTTGAACACCAAAGTTAAGCAGTGGAGAGCCAGGTCAGAAGAGCAGGTACTTTAAGTTTTCTCATATATACAAAGATTTATTCGTTTTGCTTATGGAAAGCTTAATAGACAAATTCAGTAGATTTGAAAGAACTGTGAAGGCGGAAAAATTAAAATTGTAAAACCTGCTGAATAAAGTGGGTGGGTTACGACCGTTAGTTGGCGCTTTTTAAGTTCCTAAAAATGCAAAAAATTCCTTCTCTTTTGCCTCAGCGTTCTGGGTACGACGATAAACTACATCCGCGTCCAGGATAAGACGATAAACTACATCCGCGTCCTGGGTAAGACGTTAAACTACATCCGCGTCCTGGGTAATCGGATAAACTACATCCGCGTCCAGGGTAAGCGGATAAACTACATCCGCGTCCAGGGTAAGACGATAAACTACAGCCGCGTCCTGAAAAGACGATAAATTACATCCAACTGCAAGGCCTCTGATCAGGAGTTTTTTTCGGAGCGTGGAACCACCTCTTAATTGCTGGTGTTTCCTGGTCCACCCTGACCCGGAGTGGTAGCACCTGTTAGGAATATTTAACCCCCAAGCTGGGGCAAAAACACTATGAATGTGTAAAAATAGGTTTTATTACCAGCAATATATATTTTTGAAAGAAATTATTATCAGTAATAAGAATCTCATCAGTACTAAATGACCCATTGATATTGATACGCCGTAAAACAAAACAAGCTTAAACTAACTAAACCATGGCATTCCACAGATGATCTTTAGTAGGCTTTTTCCGTCTTTTATTCAATAGGACATGTGAGTGTCAAGTTCTCAAATCCCTCTTTTCTCTTTATGCGCTCAAGAATTTCCAGTCTTTCTGATTCCAAATATAAGAGTCATTTTTGATTCCATTTTTCCGTTAGAATTCCCTCGCTACTCAGTCCATGGTTCTGTTATCTTCTGTCCTTTAAGATACATCTATATTGCGATCTTGCCAAAGATGTCCAGAAATTGGGCTACGGATATAGAAATATTCATTTGGCCTCACTTTTTATTTATATGGATCAAACCCCGCAACACATCAGGCGTAGAGCTTGTAATGAACCCTTTCAGTACACTGATCATTGTCGGTGAATGCATCTGTTTTTAACACCCGGATAGACGGTGTACTGTTATGATTGTTGCTAGAAGAACTTCGAAATTTTTTGGAATACTGTCTAACTTCAAGCATGCGTGAAACATCTTCCTTATTTTAGGCGCCATGGATGTTATATGTTATGGCGTTAGGGCCTCGTTTCTTCTTTCTTGCCTCAGTTTTGCTGAACTTTTCGGTTAATTATATATATATATCATTTCTTTTTTACATTCATTTATTTATTTTGTTTTTTTTTTTTCTTGTCACATTTTTACCGTATTTTTCGGCTATTTATCTCCACCACTTTTCTTTCTTTCTTTCTTTCTTTCTTTTTTTCTTTCTTTCTTTCTTTCTTTTGTTTTTCTTCATTCTTCCGTTGGTTTCCTTTCGTTTTCGGCTCTTTATATTCCTCACTATTCTTTATTCATTTATTCTTTCTTTCTTTCTTTTTTTCTTTCTTTCTTTTTCATTTTCGTTGTTTCTTTCTCATTTTTTTCGTTGTTTTGTTTTTCTTCTTCCCTCTAATTTCATTTTTTTCGTCTATTTTTATATATCACTATTCCTTGTTTCTTTCGATCTTTCTTTTGCTTTCTTTCTTTCCTCATTTTTTATTTCGCTTTCTTTCTTTCTTTTTCATTTTCGTTCTTTCTTTCTCATTTTTTTCGTTCTTTTGTTTTTCTTCTTCCCTCTAATTTCATTTTTTTCGTCTATTTTTATATATATCACTATTTTTTCTTTCTTTCGATCTTTCTTTCGCTTTCTTTCTTTCTTCATTTTTTATTTCTATTTCTTTCTTTCTTTCTTTCTTTCTTTATTTCTGTCCGTCAGTTTTCTTTTCGTTTCCGGCTCTTTATATTCCTTGAGATTCTTTCTTTCTTTCTTTCTTTCTTTCTTTCTTTCTTTCTTTCTTTCTTTCTTTCTTCTGTCATTTTTGTTTTCTTTTTCTGCTATTTATATTCGCCAATATGTTTTCTTTTTCTTTCTTTTCTTTCTTTCTTTCTTTCTTTGTTTCTTCCATCATTTTTGTTTTCTTTTCTGCTATTTATATTCGCCAATATTTTTTTCTTTTTCTTTCTTTTTTCTTTCTTTATTTCTTTCTTGCTTTCTTTCTTCCGTCATTTTTGTTTTCTTTTTCTGCTATTTATATTCGCCACTAGTTTTTCTTTTTCTTTCTTTCTTTCTTTCTTTCTTTCTTTCTTTCTTTCTTTCTTTCTTTCTTCCATCAGGCTTCATTTCTTGTCTGGTCATTTATATTTCTCACAATTCTTTCGTTGTTTCCTTCCAAACATTGTCTTTCTTTCTTTCTTTCTTTCTTTCTTTCTTTCTTTCTTTCTTTATCTGTTTCTTTTTTCAGCTTATTTTCACCATCAACGACGTCCATTTTCTCCACTGTCAACTCCAAAAGATACAGACTCATAATGGAAATTAAACCCAAACAAGCCGAAGTTGGCAATTTGGAACGGTGTTTAGACAGTTAACTTCGCAATTGATTATTACTGCAGGAAGTTCGCGAATCGAATATATTCTTCATAGTAATTTTAGCATTCTACAGGAAAAAAGAATCAAAAGCATTCCTCATAATAGATTTCAGTCCTGACACGATGCCGAACGCATCTTACATATTAAAATCTTTTCCTAAGTAGTAAACAAATTTATATTCGTAAAGTTAATTGTTCTAAATGACTTAATCAGACCAATAATGATGTATGGATGGAAATTTCAATTTAAATTTTGAAGAAAATAAATATTCAGCTTAGCCTTATTCAGTAGGTCAGGTGTATTTTTTAAAAATGACTTTTAGAAGAAATTTGATCAGTTTTTACATCATTTCACATAAGGCATCGCAATAAAGCCAGGGAAATGAAAAGGATTGCAATGTGCGAAAGTAAATAAGAAAAAAAATATGTTAAGGAGAGAGAAAAGTAAATAGCGGACATTAAGAAAACAGTAGACAACGATTGATATTACATTTACATATATGAAGATCAAAGTTGACATCAAAATCAAGAATGTGGAAGAACAAGCGTGAACTGCAAGAGAAGGAACTGTTAGCATAGAACACGCGGTTATATCAACCTAATTCAACTGTGAAATAAATAAAGAGACCTAACCGCCAATCTAGTACTGCACTGAAATGCGTAAAGTGCCAAAGAGGAAATCTTAGAACAATTAACATGAAAAACCTATAGCTGCTTTACGGCGGAAAAAATGATTGAAGCCGAAATGCCAGATGAGAACAAATAATATTACAGATATTATATTTTTTTTTTGGGGGGGGGTATCAAGAATCGCTAAAAGCACAGAAAACGCTGAGAAGATGTGACAACATTATTCAAATCATAGATGAACGTTCGGCTTACTAATATGTTAGATTCTGTCGAGAAAACATTTCTTGTCCGACACAGTGAATCAATTTTCCTAGCAGCAGACATAGCAATTGGTCGAGTATAAACTTTCCATTTAATTCTAGCGGAAAACGTTAACTAGAGATTAGAATCAACCAGGCAAAAGAAAAAAACAAAAAAATAACCAGTTTCTCAAAGAGAGTAGCTTCATTTTCGACAAGCCATTTCTTGCTCCAGTTAACAACTAATATGATGGAGATGGTTGAATTTGACTACGAATTTCACAATATGGAACCAATCAGACTGATTGTAAGACAGTAGCAATTAGTTGTGATATCAGTGTAGATACGAGTTGAGAACTGATGATGACGTAATTTTGTTCATAGTTGTCGACAATGCGGACATATTAACATCTATTTCTGTCAGTTTCTATCTATCTATCTACTTGTTCATATATATATATATATATATATATATATATATATATATATATATATATATATATATATATATATATATATATATATATATATGCTTTTTTAATTTGTTCGTCTGATGAATTGAAACGTATTTACGATTCCAATGTAATAAATTATCACCAATATATATATTTCAGATATTTTGATTTTGGAGGCACGGTGGGCTAATGGATATCGGCTTGGATTGTGGAATCGCAGAGCCGAGTTCGAATCGAGGTTGGAACCATTGCATTCACTTACGTGCTAATACCCTTGGGAAAGGTGTGAATCTTCTTCTCCCTCCAGCTATGGGTAAAATAGCAGGACAGACTGGCTACTATAGCCTCGGATGGCAACTGGTCTAGGAAGACAACTCTGAATTCAAAACCTGAGGGGGGTCGTTTGGGGACCTTGTGGCACGTAGTGCACCAGGTCTCTGTATTTGGCCCTTCAAAAAATGTGGATGGTCCTGCACGAAACCTTCACAACTACAATCGAATCTCACGTGCCGGTGTCGGGCTGTCAGCTTCCTGGAAACTAATCTACTTGACCCTCATACGTCGAACCCGACGGGAGAATCGATATGCTTTTTTTTTTTAATTTGCAAGTCTGATGAATTGGAACGTATTTACGATTCCAATGTAATAAATCATGAGCATTATATATATTTTAGATATATGTATATATATGTATGTGTATATTAACCACTAATATTATCAATATATATATATATATATATATATATATATATATGTAAGTATATGAAAAAATATAGACTTAAGAAGTGCTATATTTATGGGATAAAGGTGAAAATAAAGTGCTCAATATCAGAGATAGAGCGTGTTTCATGCTAGATGCAATCGTCGGGTGGCCTGACGATTGCATCTAGCATGAAACAGACTGTCGCCTCTAAGTGTTGACTTCTTTGTCCAATTATATATATATATATATATATATATAATGTATGTGAGTATAAAGACAAAAGAAAAGCTTTACTTAACCGATATTTTGTCCTTTAATATAAGGATTATATTTTATTTTTCAGCGATTAGTTTTAAACTAGACTAAAAAATACTAGTTGTTATTCAGAATTTCTAATTTACTATATCTATATATCTCTCACATCTATACTATAATTACTATATCTATCGATCTATATCATCTATCCATCTGTTCATATATGTGTGTGTGTGAGAGAGAGAGAGAGAGAGAGAGAGAGAGAGAGAGACAATAAAGACAAAAGGAAATCTTGACTTAACCGACATTTTGTCCTCTAATGTATGGATTATATTTTATTTTGCCACGATTGCTTTTAAACCAGACTAAAATATATTCTTAGTTTTTCAGAATTTTAAATTTACTCTAATTTTTTTTTTACAACACGATGTCAATTCACGTTGAAATTCTCACAGTATTTAGTTTCGTTGAAGTCATTGCTAAAATTTTTGGTCTAAATTTACAAACTCTATATTTTGTTCAATTTAGCAAACGAATCGATGAAATTTGAATAAGCTGATCTATTTGGAAAAATACCTTGATAAAAACACTACTGCGCGGTTTAATAGTTTCTTTAATTTTATTTAAATTTATAGAACAGAGATAAAAAAAAAAAAACGTTTAAGATTTCTTACTCTTGAGCATGTAACATACAACTGGCCACGCGTATATATTTTTTTCTGCAGCCAATTTTCAACATTTTGAAGCGTTTGGCCTTTTGATTTGTTTAAATTTCTCGCAAACGCAGTGCGAACTGGAAATTGGATTCTTGTATATATAAAAACTTAAAGAAAAGATATGCAAAAAATAATACTTCATTTTATTAAATAAATATTTATTTTAATCATTAAATTCTTTTTAAAATAGAGGGAGTACTTTGTATGTTAAATAATATAACTAGTCTTTAAAAAAAATGATAAAAATCTATTGCACTAAGCTCTACACCCTAGTAAAACCAATTGTACTTTGTTCCCTCTTACCTGTTTGCGTTTCTCCCCCAAATTTATTTGCGATCGGTCAAGGTATGTGAACATCTTAGGCTGTGGCGGATGGTGTGACGAACCGAGAGATGGATGGACTAACGCACTAATGGAAGTCACTGATTTAATAATAAGCCGCATAATGAAAGTCAAGATAACCTATCGTATTTTACTGGCTTTACTCTGTTGTTGAATTATAGAATTAAATATATATATATATATATATATATATATATATATATATATATATATGCGCAATCGCTAAAAACAAGCAATTAACCGGCTTTAAAATAATAACAAAACAGCATGAAAAAATAACAAATAATAACAATTTTGCCTACCATAGTATTACACAAATCTCATCATAAAAAATAACCCCCCAAAAAACCCAAAACAGACAGATAGAAGTTATGTGAACGCGTGTGCATACGTATATACGTGTGTGCGAGAAAACAATATTCGTTGAACAGAATAGACGAATACAGCGACCAATTCTTTACGTATGTATTCAACGACACATAGATGCACGTATATGCCTGGTCCCACACTGTTCATATATGTTTATGTTTGTGTCTGCTCCAATGAGTGAGCGTGTGTGTATGTATGTCTGCGTACGTCATTGTATCTTTGCGTACGTATCAGTGGCGTTTCGACGACAATTTTTCCTCACACTTCCATAAGAACACCGATATACGCAAACATATATAAATCCAAAATTTAAAAAAAAATTAATCAGTTTGTCTGACGATCGCGAATAGCGTGAGACCCAGGGTCACAAACTCACACCAATTCAACTAAATATATATATATATATATATATATATATATATATATGATATTAAATCAACGCTCAGATTGCGTCAGCATGAAACAGGCTGTTGCCAACATATGCTCTATCTCTGATATTGAGCACTTTATCCCATAAATATAGCACACCTTTAGAACTATATTTCTTCATATATATATATATATATATATATATAAGTGAGCATTGAAATCAACGCTCAGATTGCGTCTAGCATGAAACAGGCTGTTGCCTGTGAGTGTTGACTTCAATGTTCACATATGCTCTATCTCTGATATTGAGCACTTTATCCCATAAATATAGCACACCTTAGAACTATATTTTATATATATATATATATATATATATATATATATATATATATATGTCTATATTTCTGGGATGAGGTATTATGTAAAAGTATTTACATTAGTCGGACTATTGTCCTCATCTTTGTCGCCATATTTGTCACAACGTTTCGGCCGTTGTACGCTTCGGCCTTCTTCAGGTGGTTGGAATTTCGAACTGAACACTTTATTTCGATCACTGGGGTAGACTGTTCTAGTTCCACGTGCCATGTTTGATGGATGTCAGTTATTAGTTATCTCCTGCTAATTTTCCCTCTGAAGGTTCTCCACTGCCTTAACCAGGTATTGAACTCACCTTCACAGGTTCTCCACTGCCTTAACCAGGTATTGAACTCACCTTCTTTAGGTTTGTCAATGGATCTAACCAACGCCTTTATCCACTGTGCCATGTGTCCTTGAGGACACATGGCACAGTGTACAACGGCCGAAACGTTGTGACAAATATGGCGACAAAGATGAGGACAATAGTCCGACTAATGCAAATACTATATATATATATATATATATATATATATATATATATATATATATATATATATATATATATATATATATATATATATATAATAATTTTCATGCAGACAAAAAACAATTTACTCACGAGAAAGATGCAACTTTCGTTTCGGTGCATTTCAAATGCACCTCGATGGATGAGAACCAAAATGGTTATGAACACTTCTGTTTGTAAGCAGACCCCAAGTGGAACGTCACTTCCTTTTTCCCATTTGTTCAATAAAGTACTTTTTAAGAGGTGGCCGAATAAGTATGAAGATAGCCAATAGAAGAGGCAAAAATGTTGACAGAATGGAACAATAGTGTTTGTTGATATCAGTTTGGTGAAGCATTGATAAGGTGTTAAAAAGATGGCTCGAACCTAAAAATTAAAATCCACAGAAACAGTCAAGGTTTTAGGCACAACATTTCCAAGCCTCCTCATAGTCAGGGGTGGGACAGGAAAGGTGAGAATCGGAGAGGGTAAGACGATTAAAGCGGAATTAAGGATAAGTTCAAAAGATGGTTATATTAGTAATTGTAAATATTTTTGGTAACTTTAAAACGAAGCCAGAGCTGAATTGCTTATATTTAGGTTGGAATTATTGCGACTCGTTTTGTAATCAATGAACGTATTTTGTAAATTAATAAATTAAGAGATGGAGATTTTTCTTGGTATGTTGAATACATAAGTTATTTGTGTTTTTTAAAACAATAAGTTTTAGTTCAGAATTTAAGATATAAGTAGAAAGTTATATAAAATTATGGGATATAATAAATTTATAAGCAAATTTGGACCAATTATTGGACTTTATGATATTATATATGTGAAAAAAAAGTATTCTAAGAATCCTAATCTAAGATAGATTAGCGGAAAGGTATATGAAAGGGTAGAAAGTATATCAAAGTAGGTGAGTTATAGTTTTAAACGTTTTATGTATTTTAAAATTTAGCAAGATTGTAATGTTTGACATTTGAAATGCCTACAAAAACGGAATTGTTCGTTAACTGTAAATTACACACACACACACACACACACACACACACACACACACACATATATATATATATATATATATATATATATATATATATATTGTTGTGGTAGGATCCACCTAATTTGCATAGTGGAGTACCGACCATATAAATATGGTTGGTACCGGGAAGAGAGGGAGGAATCAAGAGATTCAACCAGAGACTCTGCCCGACTGCGACTCAGTCAACACATTCTTCAGGAACGGTCTTACCAGGAATATACAAAAGACTATATGTAAATATTGTGTAAACTTTCTTGTTTCAATACATTTTGTTCTAAGTACATTTTGTGTTTCATTATTATTCCATGCATTAGTCAAGTTTCAACATATATATATATATATATATATATATATATATATATATATATATATATTGTATCCAAGTAAACGGTTAAGAATTAACAAAACAAGTGTTAGACGACTTGATAGTATGTGTCCGTTGACCAGCATTGGTAATATTTAACATTTAACAGCACACCCCACAAAGGATGCATGTGGCACAAGGCCGAGTTTACCGTGAGTTCTCCGAGCCGAATAAAACGGTTTCAGGGACTGTCTATCTCGCCGGACGAAACTTTGCTCTGCGACAAAGCCTCGTACTGGTTCCTCTCTGCCGAGGCTGATTGTTTTACAGTTGAAAATTCTATATAATTGTTCCCCTGAGGCATACTTTCCTACTAACTTTATAGTAAGTGGAAGAGTTCACAATGTACTCATTAGAGGGAGGACACCACAACAATATATATATGTTGAAATTGGGACACTGCAATTCAATTTCTGGACAACGTAATTTCTGAAGTCCTTCAAAGATAATAAATTACATTTATCTGCACTGTACCTCTGTCATATCGTGTGTGTAAGAAAAACGAAGTTAAAGAACAAGACATTTGTATGTACATGCATGCATATTGAACATGGGTAATCCAATCAGTAGATCTAGCAGAATTACAATCTCCATATATAGTACACAGGTTAGAAGAAATCAAGACTACCCTATTGAGTAAATAATAATTAACTACACTATTTACATTATTCGCACTATTGTCTTCACCTTTGTCGCCATATTTATGACAACGTTTCGGCTGTTGTACGCTCCAGCCTTCTTCAGGTGGTTGGAATGTCGAACTGGACCCTTTATTTTTCTCACTGGGGTAGACTGTTCTAGTTCCACGTGCCATGTTTTATGGATGTCAGTTATCAGTTAACTCCTGTTAATTTCCCTCTGAAAGTTCTCCACCGCCTGTGCCGGGTATTAAATTCAGACTCTTTGTGTCCTGTCACTGGATCCAACCAATACCTTTATTGTTTTAATGTTAAAAGAATTCTAACACTATTTATATTTACATTATTCGGATTATTGTCCTCATCTTTGTCGCCGTTGTAATAAATATGGAGACAAAGATGAGAATAATGAATAGTCTGAATGATGTAAATAATGTACATAATACCTCATCTCAGAAATATAGATAGATACTGAAAGGCCGAAACGTTGTAATAAATATGGCGACAAAGATGAGGACAATAGTCCGAATAATGTAAATAATGTACATAATAACTCATCTCAGAAATATCGACAGATACTGAAAGGCCGAAACGTTGTAATAAATATGGCGACAAGGATGAGGACAATAGTCCGAATAATGTAAATAATGTACATAATAACTCATCCCAGAAATATCGACAGATACTGAAAGGCTGAAATGTTGTAATAAATATGGCGACAAAGATGAGGACAATAGTCCGAATAATGTAAATAATGTACATAATAACTCATCTCAGATATATAGACAGATAATAATTAACTGGTAGACGTGAGTTAATGTCCCTTGTTCGCATTCTAGATGCATTCGGTTTCAGCGCTTAGCAGAGAGGAATTATGGCTGTAACGAATTATGAAATTCCCCAATAACAACTTGACAGTCAAGAAATCACTACGACTCAAAAGATTCATGGGATTCGTGGATCAAAGAAAGATTCCCGTTCAAAATTCCTTGAATGGTGCTAAGGAGAACAAAGATGAAAGTATCAAAGCTTAGAAGAATCGCTACAAGCGACGGCAGTAGAAAAAGTGTCCAGTATCGGCCAAAGCCTGTGGGTGGGGAAGTCTGTGAATATATCGCATTGTGGGGAGGCAAGAAATGTTAGAGATTGATAAGGATCATCAGAGAATATTGGTCGGATATTAAGAAAGATGGTAGATCGATAGATAGGAACTCAATACTATTTATCGAGATAGAAGAAAATCGATTACTACTAATAATAATATAAAAATAATAATAAAGAATAGAAGATATATAGATATTAGCAGATTCAAATAGATATGAAACCGATATGAATAGAATGAAATAGGTAGATAGAAAGATAGATACGAAAAGATTGTGATAGATATTAACACATTGTGATAGATATTAAAAAAAACTGAGACATAAGTGAGAGAGAGAGAGAGAGAGAGATCCGAATAGATAGATAGATAGAAACGGACTGATGTATTCAGATTGAAGCATATAGATAGATAGATTGAAGAGATCCCAATAGATAGATAGATAGATAGATAGATAGATAGATAGATAGATAGATTGGAATGGACTGAAATACTTTGAAACATAAATTTATAGATAGATAGATAGATAGATAGATAGATAGATAGATATGAACAGACTGTGACAGATATTAACAGATTGGGATAAATAGATGTGAAAAGACTGAGATAGATAGATAGATAGATAGATAGATAGATAGATAGATAGATAGATATGAAAAGACTGACATAGATAGATAGATATGAAAAGACTGAGATAGATAGATAGATAGATAGATAGATACGAAAAGACTGAGATAGATAGATAGATAGATAGATAGATAGATAGATAGAGAGAGAGAGAGAGAGAGAGAGAGAGAGAGAGACAAAAGGGTGCAAAGATGAAAGCATAAAATAAATCGATTTAGAAAATCAACAGCAAAAGTGTCCAGTATCGGACGAAATGGCTGCGTGAGAAATGTCGTGACATGACGCCAAGTAATAACAGTCGAGAGATTGATCGACATGAAGAGGGAATAGTCGGTACATATGAAGTAAAGATCGATATATAAGAATTCACTGATATTTATCGAGATTGATGGAGGCATATGAAAATTACGTGGTAGATAGATAGATAGATAGATAGATAGATAGATAGATAGATAGATAGATAGATAGATAGATAGATAGATAGATAGATAAGGCACGGTGGAGTAATGGGTAGCGGCTCGGAGTGAGGAATTGGAGAGCTAAGTTCATATCCAAGTCAAATCCATTAAATTCCTTTACGGGAAAGGTATGGATCTTCTTTTTCTCTCCGCCCCCTTAGCTATGGGTAAATAACAGGACAGACCGAGTTCTATATTCTTGGAAGGCCTACCGCAGAAAGAAATGGCAACCTACTGAGGGAAAAAAATCTGCCTCGTCAGTCATATATTGAAAGATGTATGATCACCTATGCGTGTATTACGCATGGTACATAACTGACTGACTGAAATTAAACGGTTAATATGAATGGATCCAATTTAATAAATACTACAGATGATAAACCTAACATGGTTAGGTGTAATTTATTATTTTATTGTGAGCCACGCAGGTGGTTCAAATATTTGCCTTGAGTTTGCCAGGGTCATTTTATACAGATCAGCAGTTTAACAAAGAATCGCTCCTAGTTCTGCCACCTCTTTGTCAGTCGGAATGGAAACAAAGAATTTTCATATCGGAATTCTTGAAAGGATTGGCACTTTCGATCAACCAGACAATTGTTTAACTCGCCGTTTCTTGTGCCGGCTCTTGGCTAAGTTCTTTCAGGGAAGCTGCTCTTGTGAAAAAGCCGAGCTATTGACTTGATATGCCTTGCTAAACGCTTCGGGATGCTGCGAGCGTTTTGTCCCGAGAAGGCGGGAAAAGTATGAGAACCTTTATGGACACAATCATGCTCTCGACACGGAAAATGACCTAAGTGCTTTTGTTCGCTATTTCAAATTCTTCGGTTCTTTCCAACTGCTCCGTATTCTTTCATTCATGCTTTTTATTTCCATTTTATTCATTTCTTCAATAAGTCCCTCACAATTTTCGTTGTCTTTATTATTATTATTATTATTATTATTATTATTATTATTATTAACACTGTTCGAAGAGCTTTCGATTTCAACCAGAGATCTTCCATAATTGGTGTTCTCCATAAAATCGTACTCAGAGAGAGAGAGAGAGAGAGAGAGAGATTATGTTTTGCATTATATTTGCAGTGACCAGCAACATCCCCGTATCTATGTTTTATTTGGATTTTCTAAATGTAAAGTTTAAGATTTTTTTTAAAGACCCAACCCCCTAAGAATAAGTAAGACAATACTATCCAGAACATGTCATATGCTGGCAATATTATTATTATCATTTT